GAAATACTGCTTTCCATATTCATCTAAAATGAAAAAGAACACTGGTGAAAGAATCATATTACTATAGGAACAAAGCCAAAGAGCATTCCCTAGCAGCTAGCTAACAAAAATAGTTGAAATGCAGAGCAGGGTGACATTAACTTGGGGTCATCATGTTTTCCAGTATTGCTGACCAAAGGATGAGGAACAATTCTTCAGCTACTACAGTATAAAAAAACCTTCTGCAGGATATGAACTTTGACCAGTTTCATGAGACCTTGAAGTGGACAACAAAGATTCAATCCCAGAGCACTCTCTCTAAAGACTCAAAGGAAAATTACTAGCTTCAGAGCCCAGTCACATGTCTTTGACCCTAGACTGGCTCTAGATGCATGACCCTGAGGCACAAGAAAAATATTATTGAAATAAAAGCACAGGAAAGCTGGGAGAAAAGTATACCAATGGACATGACAGATCAGGAAGAAGATTTACTGGTTGTGTTAAAGCACAACAAAAGATAAGGACAGCAAAGACAGTGACCATTTGAAAATGGGCAGCAGAATATCAGTAGTACACACCACTCAAGGGAGAAGTAAGAAGTGTAAAATGTAGAGCTAAGTTTTCGTGCTTAAAGCAGGAGAAGGCTGAAGAGATGGCCCAAAGAACACTTAGATCTCTTCTTTAATTCAGAATCAATGCATTCCAGTGACCAATGACACTGCTTCAGTACATCAGTTTTCACTGTGTCCTAGAAGAAAATTAATCCTATAAAACCTTGCACTTCAGGATGCCTCAAACATACTTTGTTATTAGAAGAAACAGTGTAGCTACTAGGGTGTTGCTCCCCAAAAAGTTCACATTCACAAAGCCTCATTTGAGATAGTTTGAGTATTTGCTTCTCAACTCTTTTCTGTATCTAAAACATTATTTAAGGTTTCAAAAAAGATAACTTGCAAAGTTACTTATGCTGTAATCCTACATCTGTTTACCTGGGAGTCAACCTACAGAACTCAATAAGACTTAATCTGAAGTAGTCACATATAGGATTTGGTTTTTATTCAGTAAATAAACTGTACAAACACCATATTACAAAGAATGCCAACTTAAGCACATGCAGCTGTTGTGCTTAAGTCAATGTTCAGTTAACCTTATTCTTACATATGCATAGAATTTCTGTCAAAAAGTGCAATCCCATGCATATCTAATAAATCCAATTATGTTCAATTAAACTTTTATACAGGTGAGCATATAGGATTGTAGCCCAAATCTCTCCAGCACATAGTCCAGTGTTGCAAATTAATTCTAAATGCTCTTCAAGTCCATCAAGAAGGAAAACCTTATAGTATCCAACAAGTGTGCAGTAAAACATCATTTGACCCTCACTGTCTTATCAACCCAGCAACAGGCACGCATACAGAGACTATGAACATGACTGCTGTACTGGAAATATATTTCCCATTCTTTCAAAAAGCAAATTTGCATGACTGAACATCGATCAGCTTGGAAGCATAACAAACCAACCAAAAATAAGAAAGTACTTTCTATACTCAGGAGACTTTTCAGGTACACAGAGATATTACATAGGTAGTTAAAAGAAAATAAGACTTTTAAAAGAACCCAAAACATATCCCACCAATGCTGAGATGATGGGGGGGGGGGGGCTGGCCCTAAATACCTATAGCCACCTACGCGGATGCCATCGGCCAGATAGGGGGCATATAAATGTTTAAAATTAAATTATAGGAAAAGTCCCAGAAAGGTATTAGGGGCTGAGAGGTGGATTAAAGGTAAAGCTTCCTTTCTTGGACAGGGATATATATGCTGGAAATGCAGTGCAACATTTTATAATATCCCATCTGTAAAAAATTATTAGAAATTTATCCCATCTGTAAAAATTTATTAAAAATCTACCTAGCTACCTAGTTAATGGGGCAACTTAATACCAACTCAAACACTCATGGAGTTGATAGAAAAGCTTCACTATCCCCTGAGCAAGTCGAAATGATTTTCTCCTTTTTAACACCACCCCCTCAATTCAGTCCCATTTCTGTATTCTTAACAGGCATGCTTACATCCCTTCCATCATACACACAACCTCCATCTAGACAAGCTCTCCAAGTTTCTGAATGCCAAAAAATTCATACACACAGGCAGGCAAAGAGAGAGCGTAATGTGCGAAAAATGGAAGAAGGAGGCAGGGCTAGGAGTTTGGAGAAAGGAGTCTGAAAGAGACAGAATGAGGGAGAAAAAAGACGCAATGTTTACATACCCGCCAGCAAACAGATGCACACACGTGTCCTTCTGGTTCATCCTCTCTCATTCTTCGCGTCCGCAAAGAATTAAGGAAGACGCCGACGGTAAGGCTATTCTCTCTATTTCCCGCTAACCGAAGCGGGGAAGACCAGAGGGGCCATTTGCCTACGACTCCAAGAAACACGCTCCGAGGAAGGCTAGAGCAGCCCTGCCCCTACCCAAGCGCTGCGGGAGCCCTGGGCTAAAAACAAAAAAAAAGAAACCCGCCGTGGCTGCCCTGGGCTCTCCTCGCCGTCCAGCGGCGCCGAGGATGCATCGGCAACAGGCAGGCGCAGAGGTGCTGCGAACGGCCGGGCCTTCCACTTCTAAATACTAAACGAGGCCCACTATAAACAGACGCCGTCATTGGCTCGTGAGGGGCCGTGACGTCACCAGCCGAAGCTGAGCAGGTTTGGCACACGTGATCGGGGGCCCTGAAGCGGAGCGCGCGCACCCGTGGAACCAGGCGGGGGACTCGGGTGGAGCCGTCGCCGCCTAGAACAGGCAGTGGCGGCGGGACATACCGCACGCTACGCTACGCTTCAGTGCAACGTGCCGCTGCTGCACGTCTATTCATTGCCCTCTTACTTGGGAGTAAGCCGGTCGCTTTCGAGGACAGGATCGTGAGGCTGAGCGGCACGTGCGCTCACAGTCAGGGACAGGGCTCCCCTCTGGGGTGTTGCAGGGTCGCTGCGGTCGGTCGCCGGATTAGGCCCTTATCTTATCTCTGCACCTTTGGCTCTAGCGGGGGGAAAGCAGATTCCATATGCTGCAGGTTAACAACTCCGCCACCTGCCCCTGCGGCTCGGAGCTTGGAAAAGGGAAAGCGAGTTGCCTGGTTAAAGATTGGACAGCATTCAGAATCATTTGCCGCTTTGCTCCCTTCCCTGTTCCAGTGGGGTGCTTCTTTCTATCCAGCCACACACGGGAGAAACTTAAGGTGCATGTTTCGGCAGAGAAAGCAGCTTATAATTCTCAGCATTGCCCTGTTATCTTTTGCCTAAACACGCATAGGATCGTGTCTTCAAGAGAGTGCAAGTACATGGTAGGAAACAGGAGAATCCCTCCTACGTAAGAGTGGTGATTATGAACGCACAAGTTGCATCCGGATCAATTCTAGTTGCCCGGAGACTAGTTATAGAGAGCGTCTGTAAGGTCGGGGGCTTAACGAGGGCTTGTGCATTAAACATTAGCCTTGACGTCAGGGTATTGGGTTTTATAGAAGAACAACACTGATGTGGAGAGGTAGATTGTTCAATACGAGCAATAAGCTGGTTCAAGTGAAATTTACAGCTTCGTGGCTTCCTTCAAGAATGGAAGGGGGGCTTCCGGAAACATAGATTCTAATCTTATCAGCCTCCCCCCCACACACATTAACTTGCAATGGCTTAGTTCAGGATAGGAAACCATGCAGCTCAAGGCCATATTCCATTTTGGAGAAACTGGAGGAGGGGAGACATAGCCTCAGTAAGACCCTAAGGCAAAAAGATCTGAAAATGCCAAAATATGGCAGCATAATTTAGTTGAAAGCACTGCTGCCAGTAGATATGCCTTAGGGGAAGCATTCATTCAGGAAACCACCAAAAAAGAAACGGGAGTATGATCTTAAGGGGAGCACCAGGGGGTCAAATTGGGGCCTCCTGCAGAAGGCCAGACTGGGACTTGTGGTTCTGCACTTCTGACCTAGATGCTACAGTGTCCAGGTCTTCTGATACTCCATACACCAATCAGACCACCTACCTTTTGGGGGAATCACAGGGCCAGGTGGAGAAACTGCTAGATTCATTCTTCATTGTCTAAACTTCTATTTCTATGATATCCAGCTGTCTTATATTACAACCACTCCCTGTCAGTTTGGCCTGAGGCCCTTTCCAGACAGATTTTTTATGCAATAGCTCTGCAGCTCTTATTAGTCCACAAGATATTATTTTCTTTCTTTTGAGGCAGCCTTTAATATGAAGACTGTATTTTTAAAAAGTTCCTGAGATGGGAACATCTGATCATCCTTAGCTACCAAGAGGGATGACTATTGTTTGATGGAATGTGATTTTATAAACATTTTCATAAAAGTTTAAGAAGTCTGTTGGATCAGAATTGAAGTCCTATTAGTCCAGCAGTCTGTTTCTATAGGCAACTACCCAGATGCTTCCAGAAACCTTATACTCTGCTAACAGCCCTTCTCTGTTTATGTCCTCAATTTCTGGTTTTCAAAAGTGCCTTTAAAGCATGTAAGCTCAATTTAGCTATCAGGGTTACTAATGATTGACAGCCCTATCTTGCAACCATTTTAAAGCTATATTGGTCATCACATTTCCTGGGCCAATGAATTCCATAAGTTGATTATGTTGTGTTTGGAACCTGACGCAAATCAATTTCAGTTCTAGCATTGTAAGAGGAAGAACAAACAAATCTCTATCCACAATTGCATTCACTTTTTTGCAACTTCTATTCCACCTTGGGTTACCACACTTACCTAGGAGTAAACCCACAGAATTCAGTAAAGCTTATTTCTTAGTATGTTTAGGATTGTGCTATTTGCTTAAACAAAGCTATCCTCTTCGACTAATAAAGAGGTCACATTGAGTCCAATGGTGCTTGGTCCCAGGTAAGTAGATTGCAACATAAAAGGTTTCCATGCCCTGATTAACTTGATTTCTTTTCACTTCTGCTTATTTCCTACATTTATTGTGGGTATCCACTGGACTTTGCATATGATGTTGAATAGCAAACAACATAGCTCTCTCCTTTCACACCTGTGTTATTTTGGGAATACCTTGAATATATCCTTGCTTTAAAAAAAACAGATATCTATCTCACTGTAACATTCAGATGGGTGGGTACTCATGCACAGTTGAATGATAAATTCATTTCCACAAGATATAGTGATAGCCACTGATTTGAACTGTTTTAAAAGAAGATTGGACAAACTCATGGAAGATACAGCCATCAATGGTTACTAGTCCCTGATAACTATATCCTACCTCCTGCATCAGAAGTAGCATGTAAGCCTGTTGCAGGGGAACTTGGGAAGAAGGTTTTTTTTTTAATTAATTGCCCTGCCAATGGTTTGCTAAGGACAGCTGTTTGGCCACTGCATGAACAGAATGTTCAACTAGATGGACCATCAGTTTGGTCCAGCATGGTTCCTGTATTCTAACTTCCGTAACCAAAAATAAATCAAATCCTATGTGAAGTTAAATAAGCCAAATCCCACTAAAATCAATGGATTTAAGGCAAAATCCCCCATGCTATTTAACAACTATATGGAACTGCTGAGTGGGGTCACCCAGAGTTTTGAGTGTGTGATCCGTATGCTATGACATGCAGCTCTATCTACATCAGGTGAGCATATGGATGTGCTAAGACAGTATCTGGCTATGATAATGGACTGGATGATGGCAACTTAACTGAAATTCAATCTAGACAAAATTGAGATGCTGTTGGTGGGCATTTCCTCTGACTGGTTCATGGGTGTTCAAACCTGCTCCAGGGGTTGCATTCCACCTAAAGGAACAGGTTTGTAGCTTGGGGTGCTCCTTGACTCCCCAGTGGTGAAATGGCCTCCCCTCTGAGGCCCATTCAGTGCCAACATTGTCATCTTTTTGGAATCAGGTTAAAACTACTCTCTGTTCCTGGGCATTTATTAGCATATGATGGCTATTCTGTGTTTTAATGAAAATGTTTGAGATGCTACACTGTTTTATCGTTTTTATATATTGGAATTTTTAAGCTGTTTTAACTTTGCATACTGGATTTTTTTTCTATTTGTATATTTTGTCTCTGATTAAACATTGTGAACTGCTTAGAGGGCTTTGGTTATTGAGCAGTAAAGACAAGAAATATAAATAAATGAAAATGATCAATACTCTCCTCACTGAGAGAATAAAAAGCTCCAGTCATGAAGTTCACTGCTTCCACTTTATGTACAAAAGGCCAATTCAGATGAATTCAGGAGTTGCTAACTCATAGCAAGGAACTTGATCATGTGATTTACAAGCCCTGTAAAGTTGCATCTTCCAAGACGAGTTTCTGTCCCCTTAGCAGCAGCTTCTTTACCCATGCAGTGCATTCTTTGGGCACTGCCATTGATTAACTCACCCTTTATCCTATCCATTGATTAATTAAATCAAATTAGTACAATCCTGTAATGGAACTTCATCAAGTCACACATGTTTAACTCTTGCCTAAGGGTCTCTCTATCAACTGGAAATCTGAGAGTCTGGCTTGAGTAGGAGCAACATGTCTCATAAAGATAGCCTTGCCTTTATATTGTGTGAATAATAACTCTTCCAATGCTGGTCATCCATTAGTTGAATACAAATTGGAAATGGGTTTTCCCTCCCTGTGCTCACTCCAAGATGCTCCTGCCAGTCAAGCTGAAGTATGGGAAACTGCAGCAGAATGGGGTTGGGGAAATAGGAAGAGAAGGCAGGAAGGTTCTGTTGCATCAACAGACTTCCATTCAGTGGACTTGGATGCAGCATTTTGCACAATGACATAGGAGTAAATCCAACTGACTCCAGAAGGATTTATTCCTGAATAAACAGGCATAGCATATAGATGTGAAACAGTTTCCTTAGAAAAGGATCAGCCATAAATCAGCAATGAGAATATCTGACTGTAAATGAGTTTTCCTCAATCTGGTGTCCTCCCAAAGCTTTGGGCTTCAGCTCCCCTGCCCACTGGCCATGTTGGCTGAGACTGTTGGGAGTTGCATTCCAAAACAACTGGGAGGCATCAGGTACCTAAAGCTGATATTACCCATCAATTGACAATGAACACATACACAACATAGCTGGATAAACAGTAGAAAGGAATCAATGTGGAGGCTGAAATTACTAGATTTTAAAACTGAAAACCACACACTATATTTGGGATGTTTTTCTTTTTTCCTCAAATACTATCCTTCGTACTATCATGAAGGACTCTTATTTATATCCTTTTCAAACCACTTATGTGCAAGGTATATATTTAGAGAAAGTTTCTTAAACCCACAAAAATCCATGTTTGCCTTCCTTCCAATCCAACATGCAACCATAAAGGAGAGGCCCCATTCTCGCCCATTAAGAGAGAAAGGCACAGAAATGGAAGGAAAGGATTTTCCTGCAATAACGGACACAAAGAAAGATACTCTGCTGTAACGTTACATGTCCCCAAATGCTGCTAGGTAGCGGCCTAACATTCGGCCCTCTCTGCCGATCCTGAACAGGTTTCCTAGGAAGTCAGTCCTACTGACTGCAGCTGGGCTGACTCCTAAACTAGAATGCCACCCCCCTCCCTGCCTGCCCCCTAACCAGCAGCAGTAGCTGCTCCTCCGGGG